AATTCATTTATTCTTAGATATGCTACATTTTGATTTAAAATATTATTTTATAAAATTTTTGTTTATAAATTTTAACAATATTTAAATATAATTTAAGTATATCTTATCGTGGATTATCAAATTAAATAACAAATTTCCTTAAAAAGATTAAGGGACCGTCGTATTGCACTATTTTAATGATTCATGAACATTTTGATTTAAAATATTATTTTATATAATTTTTGTTTATATAATTTTTGTAATTCATAGATATTCTTAGATATGCTACATTTTGATTAAAAATATTATTTTATATAATTTTTGTTTATTTTATAAATTTTAACAACAAGACATAAATATAATTTAAGTATATCTTATCGTGGATTATCAAATTAAATAACAAATTTCCTTAAAAAAATTAAAGGGCCGTCATATTGCTCTATTTTAATGATTCAACGTTTAATTGTAAAAATTTTATTCTTAAATTAATATAATAGCATATCTAATCCTAGTTTGTTATTCAATTTTAATATATTTTAATATAAACATTTATATCATTAATGTTAATTTAAATTTCATCTAAAATCAATAATTTAATTTTAATGAGTTTTAATGAATAACTTCACTTTTACGGTACAACTTTTATTATATATAAACTTCATTCTTATTTAGATTGATAAGAAATCATAAAAAATTGTGTTTTTAATTTAAATTCCGTTTAGGAGAAAATAATTACAAAATCCTTGTAAAAAGTCGTACTAACGAAAAGAAAAGTATAGATCAATATCAAATTTCTATAGCTCTTCCTTAAAATTTTTTTGACGATAAAACTTGTCTCCGCAATTCTAATTTTTTTGCAATACTATCACTTAGTTCAACGAATGATTTTCTATACATAATTGAATCTTCAGCTGCTTCAAATCATTTTCAATCGTTCTCACAGATATTTATCAAAATGTATTCCTACATGTGACAATAATAATATAATAACGGAAAGAAAACGATATTCTTAAAAATTCCAATCATGGTAATTATTTTTCTGAAGAAGAAAAAGGTTGTCTTCTGAAGAGTAGGCTCCGTTACCTAAGAGAAAAAAAAAAAAAAAAATAGTACAGAGTGTGAAACTACTGTAAAAAATAATACAGTATATCCAGAGATAATGTCTCCACCTTTATCTGTGACAAAAATATCTAATTTAAATAATCAAGTATCTTACTTCTGTAAGATGTAATTTACAAAAAAGTTCTTCATCTTCAATGCAAAGTTCCACCACATTGTCAACATTATATTAGAAGGGAATTCTAATTCTTCATGGGCAGAAATGGAATCATATGTCATTGAAAATATGCAAATGCATTCTTCAACATTAGGTACAAGACAAATGTTAATACTTACACCAATGGGTGAATAGCAAGAGTTTTTAGGTCATGTATTTGAACAAAATGCTTTGGAACTTACTTTGAAATATATATCAATGTTAGAGAAACAAAGGATACTCTCTTAGCATTTGAAGCTTTAAAATATTTAGCTTCTCTTCTTTGTCATAAAAAAATTCTCTATTGAGTGTTGGTGGTCTACAGAAATTATTCGATGTTCCAAGACCCAGTGTTGCAGCTACTGAAGTCTCTATTTGGCTACACTATTTAGCATACTGTGAAGATGCAATGGAAAGAGTATGTCTCCTATCAAAGCATGTTATTTCAGATCTTGTTACTTATGCATTATGATATACACTATAATATAATAACAATAATACCATAAACTTTAAGTTGCACCTGCAATTGAATAAAATCGTTAATACATCCATTACATACTTGGTAATTTTTCAAATTTTTCTCGAAATTAATTAACAATTAACAATTGCCTCAAGAATGCTCTCACATATGCAAATTCTCATCGCAAAACACAAAAGGAGCGATTCTTCTCGCCAGTTGTTAATGTAGGTCAATTTCCAGTGGCCGTCGATGCAAAGAAAAAAAAAAAAAAAAAAAAAAAAAAAAAAAAAAAAAAAAGGAAATAGAAGATGTACGTCCGACTTTCCGAGAGAATCGAGGGAGAAGCTTCAGATTCGACACGCAGTCGGTCGGCCGACTGACATTGAAAAGAGAGGGGAGGTTACTCCATGTTTGAAAGTTGAACGGTGAATAGCCGAGCGGAACGACTCGGCAGGACGCCGCGGCTGGCGCGCAATGAACGAAAATTCAGCGCGAGAGGCAAAGAAATTCGCCTCTTTGATTGACATTCAAAAGGAACACTCGGCCGCTTTCTTTAACTTGAATTATGAATGGGAGAGGGAAAGCACGGGGGTGGAGAAAACCTCCCACCGCGAGGGCGAACATTTCTGCGTGAGAAGAGGCAGACGTAAATATTGACTCGCGGACTTACCGGGCCGGCCTCTCTCTCCCTGAGCCGTAGAGAGCCTGCCCGGGGAGCAGAGGAAGCCGGAACTCGTGGCGTGCACTAGGCTTCCTCTCGCTCGATCGCCGAAAGTAGAATAAACTATGGTAATGACGCAACCGTTTTCACTCACCGGCTCTCCATCCTGCACTTGCCCTCCCGCGCTTTGCAGTTGCTTTTGAAGTCCTCGAAAATCTGGCTGCACGGTTTGCCGCGTAAACAGACGCTCAGCGCATGATTGCAGGTCGGCAGCGCGTCGATGGCGTACGGATCCTTATCTGGAACGAGCAAGCCGAGAGCCAAAGCGTTAATGCAATTTTTTCCTAGTCGTGTTTCCCGGTCGTTGATCGACGCCCGCGTTAAGTGGCAACGATGTGCGAATTTTATGCACTGGCCTCCGGGGGGGAAAAAAAAGAAAGTTCGTTCCCTCGGTAGCTCGAAGCTCTGCTCGACGTTCAGTTTATTAGAGCTTCGAACGACGAGAGCCGTTGCCAGAAAAGAGAAACACCTGAAGGACATTCTCTCTCTCTCTCTCTGTTTCTCGCGAGTGACGATTGCCATTCGCGACAAGAAATAAAAAATTGAAAGGAAATGGGGTGGCAGGCAGTTTTACTAAAAATCCAAAGAGACTGTTTTAATAAAACGCTTAGTAGAACAAATAAAATGCACGCGACACTTTGATTTGTATAGACTTTTTAAGTGATTGCATCGAAAACTGTTCTCTTTTTGCTAGGTGTTGCACTTTTTTCCACGATTCTCGGTATTTCGTGACAATCCGCTACTTGCAAGTTGAACTCCAAGTTGGACAAATTCAATTTTTCTGCCCGAAATTCCGAGGCTGATACCGTACGTGCATTGATACCGAGCGTCGCGTGATTTCTCTTTTGTTCTCGGCCCGCGGGCAGAAAATACACTGAGCAATGAAAGTATTCGAACGGCGTGATAATAATTGATTATACAAAAATTATATAATAAATTGTATAATATTATATATTATAATAATTGTATAATATTGTATATAATATAAATATATTATAAATATATTATAATAATTGCATAATATTGTATATTATACAAAAATTGTATAATAAATTGCAATTTATTGAAACAAATTGTTTTTATACTATTGTATACTTGCTAAATATACGCAAAGTTAGAGAAAAATTAAACCGTAAGTAAACAAATTACATAACATTTTTCACGGATAAGTACATATAAGGCATAACAAAAGTATTCGAACGCAATTTTAATAGTCATGATAGAATGCAATATATGTGATTATATTGTATTTTAATATCTAGCTGGGCCACCCTTGGCTTCAATAACCTCTCGAAGACGATTTATATTTATATTTATATTTATAAATCGTTGCTCACTGTACATTGAAATACGCACGGCGATAGAACGTATTATACCAATCCATTTCAAACAGTTACGCGTACTTTGAACTCGCGGTTTATTAGAGCGGCGCGATAATTGGCGGTGGGATAATTAAAAAAAAAAAAAAATTCCCTCGAATGAGGGAACTGCCTGGTCATTATTAGCAAGTGAAATGTTCGCGATATTGTTCGCGGTTCTGGGGAAAACGTTTCGGAAAAATAATTGAGACCCTGCGGACGTGCAGGTATAATGGAAAGACGTGTCTGCCCGGCCGGGGCCCGATGAGAAATAAAACAATAAGAAGTCGTCGGGTCCTTTTCTCAAAAGAGAAGAAGCAGAAAATAATAAGGGTATTCTCTTATCAAAGGAAGAAAGAAGAATCGGACGGATGTATTAAGAGGCGAGGAGAGATTTTTTCGCCGGATAAAGAGGATCCGGAAATTTCCACTGAATAATTTCAAAGACTGCACCCGTCCTTCTCTCCTCTCCCTCCCCCCCCCCTCCGCGCGAATTCTCCGATAATAAAAACGATCACAATTAAACGGGCGAGGGGTTAATTCGTTTAGGAGCGACGAGGGGGAGAAAAACGGCGGGAGATAAGAACGGAAGAAAATAGAGTCGCGTTTGTAAATCGCGCGCGTGAAAATGTATACATAGAGTAGAGCCGATGACGTAAGGATAATGGAGAACGGCAGGATAAATGAGCGGGAGTAAGTCCAAGATACAAGAGACAGAGAGAGAGAGAGAGAGAGAGAGAGAGAGAGAGAGAGAGAGAGAGAGAGAGTTTCACATTCGCGGAATCGACAGAAAGAAGAGGAAAGCCATTCTTTCAGCAAGAGTGGAAACGAAAATGAGAGAGAGAGGGACAGAGCGAGAAAATCCGTGAACGGGGTTGGAACGAGGCAGAAGGGAAATGGAAGGAGGAGAGAAAAAAAGGATCGCGGCTGGAACAGCGAGTGTGGGTGAAAAGAAGCGTATTGGGAATTATCCGTGAATCGTTCGAAAATGCTCAAAAGACTCGACGGCCCGGACGAGCGAGCCCTCGGGAAAATGAACAATGGAGATCGTAGGAGAAGCCGCAATGGCATGGAGGTTATATAAGGGGGCCGCAGTCAAAGATATCGCGATCCCTTTGTTTCTTTCACGAGAGCCCGCGATCGAGCTTTCTCTCTCTCTCTCTCTCACTCTTTCTCTCCATCGAAGGGAAATGCCCGACTGAGTGGCACCCCGATCAAATTTTCTTGTGTCGCGTCCGCTACAATCGCCGCACTGTCTCCGACAACTTTCCGGATAACTTTCCTACGATTAACGCCGTCTGATACGTCAAGGCCAGGTCGCCGCACCTGATGCTCGATAAGCCTAAAGTGTGATAAATGCTTGTGTGTTCTCGATGGATTCGTTTCTCCACGTCGGAATTATTCAACGGGCAGAACATTCGATCGCGTTTCAGACACTCGACACTTTGCTTACGATACGACTTTACCGGGAAATTGCAATGTCGTCCCGGTGTTTTCGCATCGATAAATAATTAACGATTGCTTGACGAATCAGCGAGAGAAACGGTAGCGAATCAGCGGGAGATCAATAGTTTAATTCCGAAAGGAACCGTCTCGACAAGCTGGCAATGAAGAGAGAAAATAGACGAGTCAAAATTTCGTCGCTGGTGAAACTCTGCTTTTGGATGTAATATTAAAACAGAATGGGAAACGGAGTAATCGTGCGGTCAAAGTGTTACGAACGACAATTAACAGTGTGGAAGGCTGTTGTCGATACACCAACAAACAAAATTACCAAGAGCGTTCGCTGGATCGATAAATGGAACGAAACTCGTACGAAACTTTAATATCAACGTGATCAGCGTAACTAAAAATATAATTGCCCGCTTGATATACGAACGAGATAGCGGAGGGGTCGATGTCGGGAGATGAAGGCCGGGAGAAAAGACGGCGATTCGTGAGAGGCCGTGAGGGGCAGAAATAATTTGGGAGTAATGAGTCGAGCAATTAGAAGAGTTTGGCCAGAATCCTTAATTACATTTATCCCAGTGTATAAGCCGGCGTGGTCCGGTGAAAGCCGGTCATACGGGGAAGGCAGCGTGGATAATGAAAGCGCCGGCACCGCAGCCAGCTACGAAAACCAGGAAGCTTCGGCACTTAATGAGATTAAATTCGCTCTCCTGCTTCGAAAAAAGGAAAACGAAGGAAAGGGAAAACCGGCGGCTGGTCGGCGAAAAAGAAAAAAAAAAAAAAGAAAAGAAAGAAAGGAAGAAAGAAAAAAAAAGGCAAGACGATGGGAGAAAGGAGGCCTGGCAAAGGCACGCGTCTCTCCCCTTTCACCCTCGCCGTTAAACGCGCAAAGATCCGCGCGCTTTCCTCCTCTCGAAGTCAACGCCGGTTGTAGATAGAGTCCGGTGAAAAGCAACGCGTTGCAGCTCATGCAAGCCTTTGAAGCTTTCGGAGGAGCCACAAAGATGGCAAAGAGAACGAAGAGATCAGTTCCTGGCTCTCGCCACGAGCGTGATCCAAACTCTGCCTCGCCACCTTCTCGTTTCGCGATCGCGATGGCTCTTTCGACGTGAGAATTCTCGCTGAACTGTCGCGAGCCGAGTATTCGCGTATTCTAACACTGGATCGAAATAATTAAGCAACTCCGATACGAGGGAAAAGAAAACGGTGATTCTATTTCGTTCCAATCGAACGAATACAGCGAGAGAGAAAGACGTGATTTTGTCACGGCGAATGTATTAAAAAATTGAATGACCACGGATGATGAATTCGAAGTGACGGGGCGAATATACGACGCGAACACCGAGCGCTGGAAAATCGACCCTTACATGACCCAGTTGCGAGCGTGCGAACCGAGTGACACGCGAACACAGCGCAAAAAAAAAAAAAAAAGTGCAAAAGATAAGAATAATTTTATTTCCAATTTTTCTCCCTCGGAAGTTCGAACAAGCGCGATCGAGTTGAAATAGAAAATAGTTGCGCGATACACGTTGCGCCAGCACGGGGTCGATCGTCACCGGGAGGAAGCGTATTTCTAAACGGGGTCGTGGTAAAAAATATCCAGACTGCAAGCTGCGCGCTGATCGAGAGAGAGAGAGAGAGAGAGAGAGAAGCATTCGGATAATCTTCTCCGTGCAAAAGGGGAATCACGGAGAATGCGAACGGCAAATATCGCCAACGATTTCCGAGGTAAAAGGCGAACGAGAACGGATTCCGGTTCGAGGACGCTCGAAACCAGTATAGACCGGCGTGTTCTCGTTCCTTTCGTTGATGGCTGCCTCGAGTGCGTACAACGCCAGACGAAAGTTAAGGTTAAACAAGAAACGAACGATGGGACAGATTATTGGAAACGTTACGCTATTCGCGACTCGTTAAAAGTTTCCGAACGTAGTAGGTGGTCGAGAGAGAGAGAGAGAGAGAGAGAAATCGTGGACCGTTGAGAGGAATTTCCCCTCGACGCTCGCTCGGAATCCCTCGTTACAATCACGACCTCGCGATTAAACGCTTGTTAGAGGATTAACGCGTGTCCAACTCGATCCCTTTTTCACGGCGGCTAGATTGATCTTAATTGATTTTCCCTGTCCTCCGCCTATCGATCCTATTTTCCGATAATAGAAAAAACGCGACGACTTTATATTCCACTGCGAGACCCGCCATCGTGCGAGACGTGTCATTCTGTGACCTTTGAATATTGGTTACTTGAATAGCGATCGGACGCTGACTGGCGGAGTCAACCATAGTGACCCAAAAATTTTGAAGTAGATTTTAGCTATAGTCATTATCTTTCAGCAATAAAAAAAAATATATATATATATAATAAAAAAACAATAGTAGCAAGCAAGAATTAAGACGATTAAAATACGGTCTAAGAAAGGTCTGACAATTTTTGTTAATTGTTTCATGCGAATATTTTTATTATTATTTTACTGGAGCGGACACTTACCCTTCTTTAAGACGTAGATGCAAGGGTGGTCGAAGAGGAAGTTCTGAAAGCTGTTGCAATCCGGATCTACATGCGGTTCCCTGCAGAGGCACGTTGGGCGGAAGAAAGGGAAAGCTTGCAGAGTGTGCAGGGCCGCTTGACACTTTGTCACTGTCACCGTCGAACAAGCCACTGGAACAGTTAAATTATTATTAAGCATGCGTGCTCATTGCCAATGACAAATACGCCTTCTTAACGAGGCGCCAGCGCGAATAAATTTCTCGTAAACACGGCCGTGTTACGTTAAGGAAATGAAATGCGCCACTTAAACGTATGTAAATGACGCCAGGCGATATACTAGCCCGTAGCCGCGCGTACATTTAAACAGAGGCGAAAGAAAACAAGCCGATAACTTGGAAAATCTGTGTGTTTACGTTTTAGCACAATGGGTCCCAGCGTTTCAAAGAATTGCGTTTCGACAATAATAATTGACGAAGAACACCTGGGTGAACAAGTACACAGAGAGATAACACGCTCTAAAAATTATTATTACATTTCTTTTTATTAAATGAACGATTTAAATGATCAGAAAAATGAAAGTATGGTGATATTTAGCGCAGAAAATGACGGCATATTTCGTGAAAAATAACGAATAGAAGAAAAAAAATTTTGATAATTGCTTAATATCTAGTACGATCAGCCATTTTCTAAGGCAAAGATTTATATAATTGTTTAATGATTTTTTGATATTCAATTCTTCCCACTCCTCTACAATGCATTTTTTTAAATTCATTAATATTTGCGAATTGTCTTTCATTCTGGTATACAGTTCTCGTCTCAATTTTCTATAATATTATATTATAGTCCGGAGACTTGGTCATTCTAAAATACGAATTTTTTTATTTGCAAAGCATAGTTTTAATGCTTTCGCGGTGTGCACGGCCGCGTTATCACGTTGAAAAATGTTCTTATTTCCGGCAATTCGTGTCATAAGTGTGTTAATTTCTTCGTCGATCGTTTCAATCAGACGAGTGCGAGAACCCAAGATATCGAGTCGGATCGGGAACATGAAATTTCTACTGGATCGGGACAAGTACCCGAAACTTTCGAGATTCTCAAATTTATCGGAATTCTCGAAAGAGTCAGAATTCTCGAAAGAGCCGGGATTCCCGAAAGAATCGGGATTTGGGAAAGGATTGGGAACAAGTTTAAGTAATTCGTTAAAGCCGACGCCTTCAACTATATCGAAAGATCGGAGATCTAGGATCATCATTCGAGCAATTCCTTCTGTTATATATCTTTTGGTTTAACAATCTTTCGCGTATCATTTTATACACGCGACAAATTTTATATCGATTCAGTTTCTTTTCTAGTACATATACATTATGTACATGGGCATATGCTTCAAATGGCGTAATAAACCAGTAGTATTTGCATACCTAGTTTTAAATTCATGGTGACAAGGCGTGCATTCCGCCTTTGTATCATCTTTTTCTTGAAAATGTTCCCAAACAGAGCTTCTCTTTACCTTCTTCCTTTACACGATATCTTCCGCTACTACTTCCTGTTACCACAACTTGACTCTCACTATCACTCGACATTGGTTTTAAAGATTTTTAATCTTTATTAAATTCACAGAGATTTTGAAACATACGTCTGACCTCCCCGAGTTTCTCCGCGATACTGTTCAGCAGCGTACATAATATCAAGCACGCGGTCACACGTTCGTTTACATCAGGTCACACGATTCTTAGAATTCGTGTTTCCAATAATTTCACTGCCAGAAGAAATTGAACTGTGTATTTACATATTTTGTAGACTGTTATACAGTATCGTAGAGTAGTTTGAGAAACGGTAGCCGGGTTCTCGAAATTTTCGGGAAACCCGATTCCTTCGAGAACCCGACTCGACCTCTTCTCGACTCGTCTCGACCATCGGGTTCCCGATATTTTCGAGTTCTCGCACACCCCTAGTTAATACGCGCTCAACTGACCGTACTTCGCACGAATGTTACGCTTTAGATAGCTTACGTACAACTGAGGAGCATAAATATTCACAAACCTGTTCGATCCTATCCCATCTTGCGACCGCCAAATATTTACATTTTCGTTCTCCGTGCTCTGAGAAATTACGTGTCTCGGTAAAAAGCATTCAACACATCCGCAAATAAATCCACGCCCAAGGATACGCTGACGTCGATAATCTACGCGTTCTCTCTACTTCACGATACAAGACTTACGATGTACGAAAATATAGAGCGTGCCATCTTCTCGTCCCGGGGTGTTGGAAGACCGCACGGAGATCCCACTAAGAAATTCGGTGTAACGAGAGCCGGAATTCACGACAGAGAGATTATCGCGCAAGAATGCAGCGCTTTCGTTACACTACAGCAAAGCAATGGGAAATGGCCGTAGTTGGAAAACCGAGTGTAACGTTCGAGGTGGCTCGATCGTTTCAGCAACAGCGGTTCAACTTTCTCCGCGGGCTTAGCCTCCCTTTCCCTCCCTTTCCCGCAACCGCAAGATCCACCGCCGAGTGTCGCACCACCGACATACACGCGATATACAGGCGATGTATTTACGGTTAGAAAAATTTCACCCGAGGGGAGCATAGACCATAGACCACCACCACCACCAGCCACCGTTACATCACCGAATTGCCGAACGAAAACAACAAGGACGGTGTAAACCGCTCCTGGTCGCGATATATTTGCGTCGTCGCGACATTGAAAAATTAATTTCTCGCTTGAGAAGGGTGATTCGAACCGGGGGCGCTGCGTCGTAAAGTTTGCCTGACCGTTAACGGGGAATCCGATCGATCCGGGGACGTACCAGTCTCTCAGAACACCGGGTATAACTTTCCTGGAAGATGGTGGAAAGATGGCAAACGAAGAGCCCCGGTACTCTATCTTAAATTAAACATTAACTTCTGGCTGCCAGAGAATTTTACTTTTCGCTTTGTAGCCCAAGCCCCCGGCTCGTACGTATCTTTTTCTTCTTCTTCTTCTTCTTCTTCTTCCTTTTCACCCCGGTACCGTTCTTACCGTTATTTCCCTGCCCAACCAGGGCGCCGGCGCTCTTATTTCCTCGTCGACGGAGCGCGCGAAATTAGGTCACGACCATCCCGACGCCGGCGATAGTTAACGTCGTTTCTATCGGTTCGCGAGAAATCTCACAGATATATATACATATATACCGCGAGCTCGACATGACGGTCGTCATCGTCGTAGTTTTCTCGAAAAAAAGAGAAAAGAGAACGGGGAAAAAATTCGAACGAAAATCGTATCACCGGTGTCCTATGAACGAACAACGTTTAAAAGGCTGGTCGCGATAAAGAAATGGGTCATTTCGCGGGCCGGGTTAACAACTCTCCTCGGCCGGTTCCTCTCAGCGCGTCGCGTTACAGACGCGAGGTAAATCGAGATTATTGGATGGACAGAGGCGTGCTAATATTCCGGGTGAGGAAAAAGCGCCATTGAAACTTCCAACATCTCGGTCATTATTTTTCGATCTGACATTCGACGATGACGACGACATCTGGATTCATTACTTATGCCCCACCGCCGCCGCCGCTTCTGCTACTCGGTTATTACGAAACTTACGGCACCTTGGAATAGTAATTAAGGCGCTCTCTCTCTCTCTCTCTCTCTCTTTCTCATTCCTATTCTTTTCTCCGCACGACGCTGTACTAATTAATCTGCGTACAGGGGGATCTCGAACGAGGTGGAAAAAGAGAAAGGAGGAGAGCCAGTTGAAACTGCTTTAACGAAGAAATATTTTAACCGTTAAAATCGTCGTGCAAGTAGCTGATATCTCTCGGCCCTTCCGTTCTCGGTCTGCCCCGGTAAGGAACAGCGTCTCTCTCGTTGAATAAATGACGAATAAATTCCACAGGTACGCGACGCACAAGGTTATTTCCGCCGTTTGAAACTACGCTGTGACGTCTCTCGCAAGGAGATCTTTGTGTCCGAGATTGGAAACGCCTGGGAGGCTAATTTACAAAATTGAAACAGTACTTTGTACCCTGAAGGATCTGACCGACGATTCCCCGATACCCACGCCCGGTGTGTACCTTGCTCCGCGCTTTGATATTTAAATCTAACAATTTAATACCACTTTGGAATAATTGTGCCGGCCGACCTGCTGCCCCGCAACAGCACCGAAAGTCGCGCGTCTCGCAACGAAACGCGGTCGCCACGGAAATAGTTTCAGCCGGGGGAATAATAACAAGAGGTTCTGCGGTGGATTCGCGTTGCCGTCGATGAAAACAAATATCGATCGGCAATATTCGACGTGAAACCGATACGACTCGAAAAACGACTGCAAAACAAGGGCCAGAACAGCGAAACAGATTTAATAAAACATAAAACAAATCAACCGTGCCGTAAATAAAAAAGTATTACGGACCGATATCGACTGGAAACGACACGGTTGAAAGATTGATTGTTCCCTGAAAACAAAGGGGGGCTAATAAAAAAAAAAAAAAAAAAAAAAAAAGAAAAAAGAAAGAAACAGAGGAAAAAAGGAAGGAAAAGCGAGGAAAAAAAGAATCGTTGGCGCAAAGAGCATTACTAATTTCAAGCCTCTCGTCTTTGATCTCGACGACAGCCTAACCGAGACAAAGGATTACTCCGACGTATTCCGAAAGAGGGATAAATTAATGTCACGAATCCGGAGTGAACAATGACAGCCCGAATTACCGGGTCGCTGTGTGTGCGTTGCGTGTGTGTATGCGCGCGCACACAGATACACACGTGTCTGCTGCTCGTCCAGGGAAACACCGAGGGAGGGGGAGGAAATACGTATACACACGCGTGCCTGCACGCCGTCTATCGTCCGTGCATCGACGAGGCAGGAGAGAAAAGTAGAACGAGAAGAAAGGAATTTGGAGTCGATATACATTAGTCCGGGTGAAAAGAAATTAAATACGCGGAGACCATCACCGGGATGAAACGTGCCTCGTCACGTTGGCGAACAAAACGAACCATTTCGACCGACTATATCCGATTTCCGATTTCCTTTCTCTCTTTCTCCCACTTCCCTTCCAACCGCCTTCGCTCTCGCTCGCTGCTTCTTTTCCAGTTCAGCTGTGTGAATCCCCGTCGTGTTGCACACACAGGGACGACGGAGAGCGGGGAGACCGCGCTTTCAACCGTGTCGCAGCCGTGCCGTCCTCGGAAACGTTATTTCCCAGCCGTTTCGTTTGTTATTCGGGTCAAGAACCTTCATCGATCTCGGCGGAAAAAAAGACTGGGAGAGGGGGGTGCCGGCGAAGGGGAGGGGGAGGAGGAGAAGTTGGACGCCGAAGGAAGGAAAGATTAGGCGAGAAAGACGACGGGGGATTATGTCTGGCGCAGCGTATTTGATTTTGCACGAATTCCCCGGCCGCGGAAAGGGAAATTACACGCGCGGAAAATCGAGAAATGCGAGAATGAAAAATCGTTCGAAGGTTCTGCATCGTTTGTCGCGAGGATCCAACTGATAGAAGAGAGACCGATTGAAGTACGAAGTAGCAAGTGGAAAGGAACAAAGATTGAAATGGCTCTGTTCCGGCGCGCACGAGGGTAAAACGAGGAAACAGGAGCTGGACGAATTTGGAAGGCTGTGAGAGGGACGGAGAAAAGAAAGAAAGAAAGAAAGAAGGAAGGAAGGAAGGAAGGAAGGAGGTAGGGCGCCGTATCTGCCTAGCTCGAACGTAGATACTCGACAGAGGCTGAAGAGAATTGGGTCAACCAACTTGGAGTGTGTACTTCAGGTGTAGCTACCTATCTACCCATCTGCCCGACCCACCATCCCGATATTCTCCGGGCTACTCCTTTCGCCTTCTTCCCAGAGAAGAATCCATCCCCCTTTGTTTTCTCGTTAGCTGTCCGATCAACTGCCATCGTTCTCGGGTTTCGTCGAATCGAAACTTCCGCAGTTCCGCAGTTCCTGTCTTTGAGTTTTGTTCGCCTCTTGGGCTGCAAAATTCGACGATCCGCTATACTGGTGCCCCAGTTAGAAAATATGTACTTGGATTTAACCAATGATCGTTGGATCATCGTCTGACAACCAGATCGGTGTTGCAATTTTTTCTTTTTCTTTTTTTTTTAACTTCTTCTCGTGGAAAATTTGTTGGAAAAACTCGACGTTTTGGAAACTCACCGACGTGTCAGAGACCAATGCGGACGATTCGTGATATTGTTTCCGAAATAACCGCGACTTCCATCCCCCGGATAAAGTTGGCAACGATACAAACTGGTATCGCAACTTCCCGGAGTTTCTGCTTTGCCGCGTTCAACTTTATTCGCCCGGAAAATGTCGTCTCCCGGGCGGCTGAAAGCGAAATTTTTTTTTTTTTTTTTTTTTTAATTGAAAACGAGACCGCCGACAAATCGAGTAATCGACGGGGCTGACCCGGATTACCACCGGTTTGTTGAAGGGTTTTACAAATGGCGAAGGATCGGTATGAGAAACCTAAGTCCCCTGTGGGGGATGTAATCTGCATGTGATCCCTCACTTTTCCTGGCATAACTTTAGCTAGTAGATTGCGTATGCTCGGTCAAAAATTTTTCGCTAAGAAACTTTAACGAAATAAGAGTAGCCGAGGTGAGACTACGTTAACTCCATTTCAAAGTATCCGTCCATCTTTATGAACACAGGCTTGACGTCTATCAAAAATTGAATTTATTACGATTCGGACTTCCGTCAGAGATGCTAACGTAAGAAAATAATAATACACGCGAACTTTTTATTTATACAGTTTACGAAAAATTATTTAAATCTCAAAACGTTCTACAGACGTAAAATACACATATTTTGTATTAATTTTTGCATGATAAAAACTTTCTTTTCTTTTTTTTGTTTCAAGACTCCTTGCAAGTAAAAAAAGTCTGGTAACCTTGGAGAGCAGAGAATTGGTCTTGTCCATCTTTAGCAAATAGAGCACTGTCATTTTTGACCGTTTGACTTCTACTTAACGATACTAAAAATAGTTCGTGCTTTCGATCGAAAAATTCCCAAAGGACCAATTCCCTGTCGCGATCGGCTCGCAGCATTTCGCAAATATTACGAACAGTAAGGAAAAGCTTGCCTCAGCAGGCAAAGTACGTGTACGTAGAGCGAAGTCAAGGTTACGGGGCAAAAAAAAAAAAAAAAAACCGTGAAACGTACAACCGTTTCGTATTTTTGCGTCGCAGGGTATCGAGTTTCGCCTCTTTCGGCTCTGTGTACACGAAATACTTAATATAGCACCGAGAAGAGACGAGAATGAAAATAATGAATACGAATAGAGGGGGCAGAGAGAGAGAGAGAGAGAGAGAGAGAGAGAGAGAGAGAGAGAGAGAGAGAAAGAAAGAAAAAGGAGGGGGAGGTGGGCTCGGTCGAGGATAAGTTACTGCTGTTGAATAAAAGGGTTTTCCTGCAACCAGAGTGTAATTATAACACGCTGTTAGAGGATGCGCCGAAAGGGTAATATCGAAAGTAGGTCAGCCACTGACCTGTCTTATTGCCCGCTCTGACCTTTGATCGTCAGAAATACAACTCGGGAAAGCGGAGTTGAAACGGAGGGGAGTGTCTTTTTTTCTCTCGCTCTCGCATCTCACAGCGTCGAGAAAGAGGAAACGTCGTCTCTCGCAAAATTAACGGCCAAAATTTGGTCAAAAACGACCAAATTTATAATTTCTGTTGGACATTTTACAAAGACATAAAAACGAGTCTATCTTTGAATATTTAAATAATCTTTAAGTACTCTATACGAGTGTTATTAAGTTTTTCGATTTCTTTTTTGTCTCTGATGGAAACGTTACGCCTCGGTCGTCGGTAGTTTCAGTGTTAACCATAACCTACGCGACCTACGCTGAAAACGACGAAATTTTTTCGTCAGCGTGCATTTCTCAGAAAATATATTGAAATAATCGAAATACTGAATTGCACCGCATTGAACCAATATGTTCTGTGTCGAATTGTTGGTGCACATACTAAAAACTTAACAATATTACTTTTGCTTTGTTTCATAATGTATCTAATCTAGCAAATTTACTAGTAAAGTGTGGTACAATTCGAAACATGGGTCACTTTAAACTCTATTTCATGATATATCCAATCTAGTAACTCTAGTAAAGTTTAGTAATCTAAACTAGTAATCTAAAGTATGGTACAGTTCGAAACGTGGGTCAATACGTAATTACTACATCACATTTTTTGAATCAGAATACATTTTCGTCTGATCCAAGCGATGCAATTATTGTTATTATTTATTCATTAATTCGTATTCTGTATTGAATTGCTGGTGCACATACTAAAAACCTTAACAATATAACTTTAAGCTTTGTTTCATAATATATCTGATCTAGTAACTCTAGTAAAGTTTACTAGTAATCTAGTAAAATGTGATACAGTTCGAAACGCGTGTCAATGCACAATCTTACATCACTATTTTTTGAGGTTAGCCGCAACTCTCGTCGATGACAGATGTAATCTGCAGGCAAATTTACAATTAGTTTGACTCGAGCAACGTGAAGTGAGCGGCTATGGGCGGCAACCCAGTTACCACGAGAGTAAATTTTGAAAGCGCCTCTAGGCGCTGGTAACAAACAGGGCTAAACAAAATTTTTCCAACAAAATAAGCTACGAGAGAGAGAGCTAAGCGGCGTTTGTGGTTTGTTGATTGCAGGAAGCGTATAGGAAATGGGTGTGCAGCTCCCTGGTGCCTTACTTTGCTCATGGGGAATCACAGGACTTGAACAGCTCCAGCAGCTGGGCCGGAAGCAGACTTAGGCCCTGTCGGTCCTTTTGCCAATCCGTGGAGCAACGTTGCCCTTATTTGCTTCCGGGCGATCGTGCCCCCGCCTACCCCACGCAGTACGCCGGCGAGCCCACGTTTCTCTGCAGAGGTAAACTTAACTCCTTGGTCGTAAAGTGATCGTTGTAGATCGTGTTTTCACGAGAGAAAGAAAGAAAGAAAGAAAAAGAAAAGGGTAATAACATTTTTTGGCACCCTTTGGTCGACTCGCAGTCGTACGTAGTCGGCGAGACACACACCGAGAAAGTATAAATATTCGTTGAGTATAGGTTAGGTTCGTTCATAGACGCGCCGAGTGAACGAAGGAAAAAAGAAGGTGGGGAGGGAAGGGGGGGGCGGGCAAGAACGAAGGAGAAACGAGATAGTTTGGAGAACGAAATGATTTCAGATCCGAATATCCCCGAGACCGGGGAGCAAGCGGCGAGGGCGTTGCACAGCAGCGAGGAGAACGAGTGTTGCTTTCACGCGTGTTCGGAGGAGTTGCCGGGATCGGGCATATGCGCGAATTGCACGGGTCACCTGCCACGGAGACGGGGCAAGAGCCACGACCCCCCGACGGCACCCCGTTGCGAGATCAATTCCATTCAACCGGCCTCGACAGGTACGTTCTTTCCTCCCTACGTTACATCGCCCTGCAACTAACTGCTACTTTCGCGGAAAAACACACACGCCGACAAAAGACACACTGTGTGCGCTGTCTGTTTCGATCAGGTGGAGGATACCAAGAGTCGGGATTGTTCACGGACAGCAGCTTGGAGCGAGAGGGGAAGCTGCACGAGACGTCGAGGGAACCCGGAGCGGCGTCAACGCCGATCGACGCCGGTCGACGGGAACAAGGAGGAACGCTGGTGTGCGGGACCGGTCTCGGTGTCGACTCGATCGCCAGCGTCTCGTCGTCCGATCGATCAGCGACCTACGTCCTACCGCAGCTCTTCTGGTTGTGCTCGATTTTAACCAGCGTCCTTGGCGTTAACGTTCCAACGATCCCCGTACTCTGGATCTCGAGGATGTTCCTCTGGTCGAGCATGCCGTTCGGCGGTGGTGACGATCGTGATGATGATAACGCTGCTGCTACTACTATTACTACTACTACTGATGTTGTTGTTGGTGATGGTGGTGACGACGACGACGACGACGACGACGACGATGGTAGTGATAGTAGACGAAAATCGGAGGAATCGAGGAACCAACTGGAAGATCTGTTCGCTTGGCTGTGCGGTTGCCTGCGCGGAGTGAACCACGTCAGCGTGCGTTACGGCGCGAACTGGCTGCTGAGGAGGTGGGGGGCGGTGGAGCGTCGTTGCGAGAGTTGGTGGTGGTGGTGCTGCTGGTACTGGTGGTGGTGGAGATGGCGGAGAACGACGAGAGGAAAGAACGGGCCGCGCGCCCGATGGAAATTTCGACCGCGGCAATCGCGATGGAAATGTCATCTAACTCATCGGCTCGTCGCCGGTACGTTGAGCCGTATCGTCGCGAACATTGCCGCCGTCACCGCCACCGTCGTCAAATACGGATCCTTCTTCCATCTGCGAATGACGTATCGTGATTCGTTCAGCGAGCGTTGGATCCAACGTTTCCTCGTCGATTCGTTCACAGTCAAGTGCCTACGGCGACGATGGAACTGCGGTTGGCGGTGGTGGCGATCACGGTGGAGAACGCTGGAGAACGGTGGATCCGAAGACACGAGACGAAGGAACAAGAAGGAACGAAGAAGAGGAGCAAGAAGAAGAAGAAGAAGAAGAAGAAGAAGAAGAAGAAGAAGAAAGAGAAGACGAAGCGCTGGAGTATCGGGATTTCCCGAGGAGGAGAGCGTCGTTCGATCTTCGTTGGCCAGACGGCGACGCTTCCAACTGTTCTCGAGGAGGAAGGATCCACCATAGAGCGGTCGCGGGCTGTACGCTTGCGAAAGCGTAAAGCACAGGTTTTTTTTCTGTCGGTGATGCCCGCGGAGCATTTTCTCGGTCGGAAAGGATCTTGGCCGTACCTTTCTCGATTTTGAACCGAAGCCTTCGAGGGTCGCGAGAACGCGAATACCCTCTGCAAATCCGAGAAACAAAGCGGAAGAACAAAGTTGGCGGACTAGGGAGAAGCGTCGAGAGCGCGAAACGTTCAAAGTACGTACAGGGGCAAGGGGAGGGACGAGAAAAATATTGTTGTACGAACTGTTCAATATGTAACGTGGTCGTTCGAGGCCACGCGTCTACGTTCGAGGGCTCGAGGGAGAAGACGAAGCAGCGGAATTTGAATACAATAAGGGAGAGACACAACTACTAGAGATGACTCGAGCTTGCACGCGAGGATGAAAGGACGTGAAACAAAACGAGGGAATCGTAACGTCTGTCGCTAATAGTGATTGAAACAACAACAACAACAACAACAACAACAACGCAGCGGTAATTACCTGATGAATCCATTAACTGAGACACCAAGTCGATGACGAAAAAGAAATGGTGACAAAGGACAATGAATAAGTAGTAGCTCTGAGCGGATAATAATAAAAAACGACGAGTAGTAATAAAATAAAACGATAACGATTAAATGAAACGAGATAAAACCGACGAAAAGGGGAAGGAACGTTAACGTTAACGATAGAACGATTACGATTGCGGTTGTTGTTACACGTTCGATGCGTGCGCATGCATTCGAATGTACATGCACATTTATATGCGCGACACGTGAAAAAAAACACATATACGAAAAAAAAAAAAAGAAAAAAAAAGAGAAAATAACGAATTACATATTTTGAGAAAATCGAGAGTGCTGCGCGTGTAGCGTGATCGAGGCGAGAGAGACGAGAATGTCGTGTACGAGAGTGGAAGCGTGTGAAAGCGACGAGAATCTTGGATAAACGCGGCGAGCGCGCAAGTACATACATACATACATACATACATACATACATGCATACAAACATACATACATACACGTTCTCGCGTTTAACGATTAACAAGGCAGTAAAAAAAAGTAAAGAAAAAGAAAAAAAAAAGAGAAAAAAAAAACAGACAGTAGGTAGATAGATATTTTGATCGTGAAGGCAGAGGAAAAAAAGGGGAAGAGTCGAGGAATCGAGATTCGAGCGAATCTTGACTGCCGGATCGACGCGCAGAGAGGAGAGAGAGAGAAAAAAAAAATAAAGAATTACACGACCGTAGAAATGACAACGGAATAAATAAACATGGTGTTATCGAGGTATAAATATGTGTTCGTTTAGACATTTACGATGAGTAAGTATCACCTTAACATAGACGTGTAACGATATAAATTTAAAAGAAAACAAAAAAAACAAAAAAAAACAGTGAAAACGGAGGGGGGAGGGCGCGAGTGCGAAGGAGTGGGGGAAAGAGAGGAACGAGTAAACGCAGTGAGGAATAAATGAAAAGTAGAGAAAACGAGAGAGAGAGAGAGAGAGAGAGAGAGAGAGAGAGAGAGAGAGAACGGCGCGAAGAAGCTAAAAGGGGAGAGAGAAAAGGAAAAAAAAAGTAGAAAACCGATGAATTTTTTTATAGAGGACTATTCTACAGAGATATTACGAAAATAGCGAATATATTTAAAAAAAAAGGGGTGGGGGAGAGGAAGAAAAAGAAGATAATTTTGTTTCTTTCACGTTCTTTCCTGCACAGTGTACTGGTGGCTTCGATTTTGCGAAAAGAACTTTGGAAACGTCACGTCGAAATAAGCGCGCGGTGTGAACACGTGACACGTGTGTAGACGAGAGAAAGATCGTCGATCGTTTGAAGAAAGAAACGTCCGATTGTGAAAACGCGCGTTAATTTCTCCGTTGCCCCTTTTCAGACTCGATATTGTTCATTTCGCTTGCACGCTGGAACGTGTGCAAACGTGACAAAATTCTCGTGGAGAACGTATTCATTTCGGAAGCGTATCGCAATGGACGGTTTTAGGGGATCGTTTAGTTGCGTTGACTCACGTTTAATCTAAGGAAAAAGGGAAAATAAAATGGGAGAACACGTAAAAAGCTTGGAAAAAAAAATGGAGCGAAGCCACTGGTGAGTCACTGTGGGAGGAAAGAAGCAAAAAAGCAGAGAGATGAACAGAGAGAGTGAGAGAGAGAGTGAGAGCGAAGAATCGTCGTCGTCGTTGTGTCGTGACTGCGAAAGATCACGCAAAGGGGAAGAAAGGGGGAGGGAAGCATGTTTACACACGTACACGCGTCATAGAAGTACACGCATATACGTACAGCGTACACGGAGAAAAAAAAAAAAAGAGCAAGAAATGCACGCGCCGAGAAATAGAAAAACCAGGTACACCGTGTCCCGCGTGTGCATTTGCTACATTGTTAAACATTGTCCAAATACATAATTGTTACTAACTTACATTTATAAGATGAACGCAGGTAGAGCGAGAGAGAACGAGAGAGCCTGTGTATGAGTGTTGAGAGAGAGAGAGAGAGAGAGAGAGAGAGAGAGAGAGAGAGAGAGAGAGTACGAATGAGGAGGAGGAAGGAGACGGCTGCAAATCGAAATTAACAAAGGTATGGCCAACGCACTGGGGAGGGGGGGGTAAGAAATGGCGTATAAATATTATAAATATATAAATAGATACATATTTGCGAAAGAGAGAATTGCAGAGAGTGGAGAGAAAGAGAAAGAGAGAGAGAGAGAGAGAGAGAGAGAGAGAGCAGAAAAATAAGATTTGAGCGGTTTTAAAAAGCACGATTGCGCACGACTATATGTAAATATATCTGTATGTAGCTACATGTATATGTATATATGTAATGTTTACGTGTATACATATGTATGTACAACGCGAGCGCGTTGCGTGGGAAATGTGTGAAACCCGCATGCGTGTGAATCGTCCATGTATGCGCACACGTGTAAACGTGTATATAAATTAGCGAAAGAGCAGGAGAGAGAGAGAGAGAAAGAGAAAAAGGAAGGCGGTGCGACGAGGTATGCGTGTGTCAAGGACGAGGGGAAGTTTGCCCATCCGCAACTGCTTTCCGTGCAATTTTTGCGGTTGAACGAAACTGGTGACGATTGCAAACTGGTTGAAGTCGACGAGATAGACAAACAGAGAGAGAAAAAGAGGGGGGTGGGAGAGAGTGAGAATGCACACATACATAACTTGATTAGTCGAAAGAACGGTATTTAAAAAAGAAAGAGTAAAGTAGTAGTAGTAGTTGAGAGAGAGAGAGAGAGAAAGAGAGAGGGAGGGAGAGTAAGGATTGAACGTTGACGAAACAACTTGGTCGACCGAGAGAAGAAAAGAGCTGCCAGTGTGGATTTTAAGAGACGATCAGTCTGGCCGCGAGGGGGAACTACGAAACGCACAATACGCAAACAAAGACGCAATTACAGAGTTACATTTTTTCGCTTAAACAGACGATTGCAGTCTGTTGAACAAGGAGCAATAAGTCGATTGACACATTTGTTGAAATGAAACGAGATTCGAAGAGAAAGAGGGGAGGGAGAAGGGTAGAAAAACGTTTAGAAGGACGAGCGTTGCCTCGTCTGTGTTGATTGTGAGGTTCACGTTGTGTGTGTACACGCACACACCCATGAATGTCATAAATTCAGACCACGTAAATGGAGGGACGGGTGTATACGTCTATAAAATTTGTGTCTATAAAATTTCTAAGAAAAATTATAAATTAGTCAATTTCTACCACTTTGATAGTTCTAGCGTTAAATAGCCTCCTTGAAACACAAAAAAAAAACGTGACGAACGTTTTCGTTGAACGAAAAGTCGAGAAAGTATTCCTCTCTCTCGAGGAGGAGGAAGAAATTCATTTCTCGCGAGTACCGAGCATCGCGTGAGCATTCAAGTTTCAATTTCACCGTGCAGAGGGAAACGATGATAATAATAATAATAATAATAAGAATAATAATAATAATAATAACAATAACAATAATAATAAATAATAATAATAATTATAATAATAATTATAATAATAATAATAATAATAAGGTGGAAACGGATTAAAGCACGATAACGTCGTTATACCAGAGGGTGGAAGGTCTAGCTCGTTCCTTTGATTTCCCACTTTTCACGATTGTTGCGAGAAATTCATTCTCGCTCTCCATTCTTCTTCTTCTTCGTTTTCATTGGTTCTTCGTGTTACCGCGAGATGACAGCTACCGTTCCGGAAATCTCCGCGCGATTCAAATCCTATTGCCCGAGTGATTGTTCGTTTGAAATCTTCCATCTCGCGAACGAGTTGTCCAAGTCTTCTTTAGACAAACTTTTCTCAGCTTCTGTCTAGCTTCGTTTTTATTTTCTAAAAGAAAAGGGATAGACCAGTGTGTAGTAGTATGTACAATTACGTAACGATACGTTAGGATGTGAGAAGAGGGACAGTGCCGCTCGTTCGATCGTCGATCGTCGACGAGACACTTGTGCCGATACGTTGCAGTAGATGTTGCAAAGTTTCGCAGAAATGTTCTCCGACGTTGTTTCTCTTCTTGCTCGCCCTTCTTCCTCCAGCTAACGAGAAAGAGACATCGAGACAACGAGGCTCGCCGCGTGCGAGTTGGCCTAACTCGCGAGTCCAAAATTTATCGCCGCTGCAGCGTTGATACGACTCGAGAAAATTGCAGGAGAAAGAAGAGACAAAAAGAGAGGAAAGAAGAAGAAAGATGGCAAACAGCTGACTGATCGACCCCTCGTTTACGACGAGGAGCAGGAGGGGGGAATTTCGACGAAGCCCCAGCCAAGGATGAGCTGACGAAAAACAAGCGAGAGAGAGAGAGATGTCACGGTTAATTTGCTAGCGAGAGAAAGAGAATGACGAAGAGACGTTTGAAGAGGGGATGGAAAGCTTGATGGTAGATGTGTGCGTGTACGTGCACCAAAATGTGTGCGCCTAGACTAGCGTATCGATTTCAAGGCAAGTCTCCCACACAACATAGAACACAGTTCACATAAAATAAGCTGGCAGTATCGACGTCGACGTTTACATAGTTGACGATCGGTGTCGTAACCTGTTTCTTTTTTTTTTTTTTTTTTTTGTTTTTTTGTTTTACAATCGAGTTGATCCTAAGATAGTTGATGTGGAGGAAAACGCGGAGAACGAGAGACAAAGGAGGTTTTGATGATTTTGATGACAATTTTGGAGATTTTACTCGCGCGAGATTGTCTGTCACGTGTGCACGCGCACGCGCTACTTTATTATATAAGGTGATTGAGAAGTTTTTTTTTTCTTTTTTATTTGATAAGTCTTTAGCACAATGTAACTTCGACTGTGTGATTAGCGTTTAGGTGAATATTATACTAGCATTGTGTGTTTCTCTGCGAAGTCCGAGATTTTTACCTAGTGTTTATCATGCCAATTAGAATTAAGGATGATCTGTCGCGTGATCATTTTAGTGAGTTGAGTGATCTGGTGCCTTCCGACAGATCGTTTATGACAATCTTATGAAATTGTTGCCTATTATTCCAAAGTGATGCGCTATTTTTAAGAAATAAAATCTATCAAACAATCATTTTGAATCCTTTCTTACGAACGAATCGTCGAATAATGAGAGTACCAATCGATTACTTGGTTATTTCATTTTTACGGTAAAGGAAGTAAAGATTCGTGTCAAAAAGACAGAGTTGAAGACTGTATTGCGCTGCGATAACTGAAAGAATTCTATGTAATTTGCGCAGTTAACGCATAAATTACTTTTTAACACTAGGTTTATGGGACCTGTCAATAACATATTACACTTTTTATCTCAATCGCACAATTTGCTTACGAATTAATCGATACTGTACTGTTTGCTCTCAATGTAATCAATCAACGACCGACCAACGTCAGATAGTGCTTAAGGAGATACCGATCGCAGAGCGTGTCGTTTCTAGCCGTAGTTATCACTAGACTGCGAATTTCTGTGTAAATTCAAACAGTTCAAGAAAATCGAGCTCGCACAGAGAACATTACAAGTATAAAAAGAAATTTGAAAATGCGTCTGAATTCACAAATTAAAGAATTGAACTTGCACAAGGAGCATTTTGGATACTTTATTACATATTTACATCTTCAAAATGAAGTGCAGTCTAGTTAGAATCGTTGTTCGCGAAAGTATTTATATTGCGCGTGTTATACGAAGTATTTTGAAATTTCATTAGCACTATAATTTGATAACTCGATCTGAAAATATAGAAAGAAGTCATAAGATACTCAATGCAAATATGCATATATATATATATATATATTTAGTATGCAACAAGTTGAGATGCACGAATATAACATGGATACTTTTACGGTCTCTGAGAAACATAATTATCGTTATACTTCTGTATACATTTTAAAAATTGTATATAATATTACAATTACAATAATTGAATGTTATCACAGTGCCAATGAAATTTCAAAAATATTCATAAATTCAAATCAACGATACAAATATTTTTGCGAGCCACATATGTATGTCAAACTGATGTGACATAGTTTGCTTGCGTTACTTGCACATCGGCCAAGTACCTACGATTATGCGTAAAGTCTGTAGTCCAGAAAGAAAGCCGTGATAATGCGAGAATTCGCCATCGAAGCGCTTTAGAGAAACTAAAACTTTTATATCCCAAAGATACTTTACTCAACGATAGGACATGTTATTAATTTCTTTTTTTTTTTTCTTTTTTACTTTCGTTTTTTTGTTTCCCTCGAATAAATACATTCTACGATTAATGTGTTGGCCCTTCACTCTTGCTCCGTTTTCTTTTTCGCGGTAAGGTAGACGCTTGCACGATCGCGATCGTCCGAATCGATCGATTCCTGTCGTTCGTACGCGAGCGAGTCCCGTCTAACGAGTTGGTCCAGTTAATCAAGAGAACCGGGTTCTATCGTTGGGCACGCGGAACGCTAGCCGTTAACCCGTGCCAGAACGAAAGTCGGGGGGAAAATGAAAAGAAAAAAAAAGGAAAGAAAAAAAAAACGTAGCCGGATAGGCGAGAGACCGCAACCCGTTCGCGTTGCTGAACCCGGCCTAGATCGATCGCTAAACACGCACGACAGATCGAACACACGCTCCGGCGTCGGCAGATAACACATTAACACCTTTTCCCGGGTTGGTAAGAATTTATTTCAGTTTTTTTTTCTTTCTTTCTATCTTACACAGTGTTTACACAGGGAGTTGAAAAGGAAGTGTCCACGAGTTTGAAGGGCTTGTAGTATTTACTCGGAGAAAGGTAGTCTTTTTTTTTTTTATGCGGGTTGATATTTTTATAAAGATCAATTTAGAACATGGAGTCAACGAGCGTTTTCTCTGTTCTTTTCTCTTTGAATGATTGTTTGAAATAAAATAAGTGTTTGTTTTTACATTATCTCTTGTTGAGGAAACGTTCATTTCTCTTTCTTAAAAAAATTGTTTTCTATATTCTTTGGCTATTTTCTATGTTCATTCGTTAAATTATATTATTTTATACGTATATTTCTCGTAATAAAGATTTCACGTTTTTGTAAGGACAATTTGGAACATAGCACCTAGATAGAAAATTGTTTTCTGTATTATAAATATTGCAAGGAGTATCATACCCTGAATATCTCCTATATCTTTGCACGTCGCAATAAGAATTTCTTTTATAAAGGCAGTTTGAAAGTCTAGAACTTAGACGGACAGAAAATCTCTGTTAAATATTCTATATTTTTACGTATTGCAATAAGAATTAACATTGCGTCGAATAAAAATGAATAAATATAACTGATGAATACATTAATCATACGATAATAAAATAATTCTACTTCTCTGGATGAATACAAGCTCTCAAAATCTCAAACGTCTCCCCTCTCAATATTCTGTGTAACATACACGTATACGTTCGTTTCCGAATATTTCTTTTTTTTTTTCAAGTTACTTAATATTTCTTTTTTCTACGCACTGGCCCTTAACAAACGACGCGGCGCAGAATCGCAGATTGCTCCGTGCAGGTTGAAAAAAACGAAGGATTGGTTTTTCAGGGTGGCGGTGGTCTGGTGCAGCATTTAAAGAAGAGCTACAGCCTGAGCGACCTGACCGGCGAGAAAGAGGACGAGAATAGAAACACACCGCACATGCACGACGAGACGGACATGGAAGGTTATTGGCCGATCACGGCACTAATCATTTTTGCAAATTCTACCGCGAACAACGTAAATTACTCTTCGAAATCTACGGGAAAGCTTCGGAAGACAAATAAAATAGTTTATGCGTCGAGAGTTTGCCAATTTCTGTTCGAATTAAAATGTCCTATACGAAATTTTTTCATTTTTTTAAAATGTGTCGATATGTTACACGTTCCTTGTGTATTTTACTTTCACTGGCCACTGGTATGAATTGAACGAAGGGAAACAAAGAAGGTGAGGAAACTTCAGTTTCCTTCGGTTTCGAAATGATAGACAGGACATTTTAATTAAAGAGGACAGTATTATATTTCGTTCGCGTAATGGAGTTCAGGCTCAGATAAGTACATTCAATTGGCAGAGATTAATTTCACTTTTAATTAGAAATAATAATCTTTACAACACACTTTGTAACACGATGCCTCATTTGCCTCTATAAATTGTGCATTTCGAAAATTAACAATTATAAATTCGAATTACGCAAGACATAAACAGATTCGACCGCTCCGTACTCCCAAACTAAAGTTACATTATACATTTTGCAAATGAAACGTGGAAAAGATTCGAATACACATTGATTCGAAATTTTGGCACGTTTTACAGTGGAACCTCGCCGAAGAGAGCATGTGGGAAGAAGAGGATACAGTCCTCGCCGGACCCAGTCCAGTAGCAATCGAGTAGAGATGTATTTCTCTGAAGTGGACGTTGACGTTAGACAACCGAGGTCTAGGGAGCCAACAGCTAGCTTAACGTTCGTACCTTACCTCCCTAAGTATAATTATTTTAACCCTCTGCTAACAAAGCTCGAAGTAGCCTAACTTGTACACTTTCTATTGAATCACCTCTGTTTATTATCGTTTGGATGTCTATGCACTTTTGTATTTTCACGAACAGTTACTCTACTTTGCGGATTTCACATATGATCTTAATCACTGTTTCTTCAAATATTCAAAAATGCATAGACATGCTAATGAACGTGACAAAAAAATAGATTACTCTCACTTTAACTTGCATTAATGATATTTATAATCTTACTATTGACCTCTTGCGCTGGAATGACGTGCCACTCGAGAATTTTTCGTTCCAAAATTATATTTAAAATAATATTTTCTCAGTTTTAAGTATATTTAAGTAAAACGAATAATAAATTTATTACTTCTCAATCATTTCTATCCAGTGATATGCCGACGAAAAGAAAGCGACGGATTATTGTATACGGTTCGGTCGCTCGTTATGGTCCGCAATCAGTTGTCAGCGCAAGTGGTTAAAGGGACAGGTCACAACTGTTAGTTATACAGAAAAGAACTTGAGGTACAAGGATCAGGAGTCAGATATGGTCGACGTGGAACGTATGTCCCATTGTACGCGAAAAATAATACATCGTTTCTTTTTTTTTTTTTTTTTTAAATGATGCCTTAAATAATTTTGACGAAGATAAATTTAAGTTGTACAGATTTCCTCACTCGGCAAAAATATGGTTTCACCCATCGAAGGTCTCCGAGGTCTTCAGGCCGATGCAGTAGAGGGTTGAAATTTCGTATTTAAATATTCGCCGCATCTATTATTTGCTATATTTACGCATCAAATGAATCATTGGTTGCAGTAATATAAGGTCTTCGGACGACATATCAAGCGGATACAGCAGCGGTGAAGCGCTACAATCCAGCCGTACATCTCAAGGCGATTCGTTAGTTCGAACATCGAGCGTCGGTGCAAGAACACGCGCAAAACCTCGCTCCACCACGAAGAAGACCCCAGAGGTACTAAATTCAACCGCTCGAATCCGTATAAGAACATAAATCAAGGTTTAATTCCGCGCACTCGAGTCCCAATTTCATTCTGCAACTGAAACTTTGCTGAAACTTGTTCCGAACGACGTTGATAAACAAGCTGGAATGAAGGCGTCTCGAAGTAAGCAGCAGATGATGCTTTAAATTTGACCGACTGCGCCGAAAGTTCCACCCTGATTAATTCATCAAGGACCAACGTTTCGATCTCACATTTTTCCCGGATTACGTTTTCTTGTCTGTAAAAGAGGATTTTCAGATTCGAAGGAAGTACCGAGAATTCTCTTTCAGCCGAATTTCTTTCGCGTAGATGAGGCGTAGATTTTATTATATAATTTCGTAGAGAAATTGAAATAGAAAAATATTTGGTAGATTAGATTGCTATTAGTAATAAGACTGATAATGAAAATTCTAAAGTTAAATAATTTCAATAACTCTTAATTGTCAATGGTTCCCAATGTGTGTGTGAGACGCGTTTTTAAAATTTATCTTGAAATTATCTATCGTTTATCTCTCGTCTTCTTATGATAAATAAACCCATGGAATTAAATCATTTCTTTCTTGAGAAAGGAACATTAATTTCCAGAGAACTGGTATTTTTTCCATAAAAGTAACTGTTTCGTCCCCAGAAATTTATGTTTATATACAACGTAAATATTGTAGGTTACAAAAGAAATTTTGTCGATCCTCTACGAGTTAATCTCGTCAAGAATTTTAGCTTCTGAGAGGCTCAACTATACCTCGGTCCTTAATGAATTAATAGATGAATTCGTTCTGTCGAGCTTTTTAAGAGTTACTTATTACCTTTTATATATTTCTTACTTGCTTTATTTGATAATACATCGATTTTTATGATATTTGAAGGACTCAGGAGAGGATTCCGACAGCGTCGACCCTCCTTCCTCCAAAAATGTCTCATTTCCGACACCTTTGAATCTCGTCACTCCCGAGCAAGCTCTCGAGATCTTGCTTCTACTCTCGCAAAACAGTAATGTTGCTGATCATATCAAATTCGATCGTGGCTCCCTTGTGGCAGGTAACGATGATTTACTTAAAAGTACCAGTCAATCAGGCCCGGAACTAGAGAAAAGTGAATCGACAGAGACGGTCGACAATTCGAGCTCAGAGCCCGTGCTAGCCGCGGAGATTCGAATAATTCAGAGCGTAGAGACTAGAATCGATCCTAAGTCGAGCGACATTGGACAGGCGGAGCTACTCGAAACGCAAGATGCAAAGATCGAGGAAGCAGCAGAGAATCGTGCGATTGTGGAAGAACAGAGTGCAAAGATCGAAGAGGGAATCAAAAATATCGCAGGCGCGGAAAGTGTAACAAGCGACGAAGCTTCCTTGGAGATCAAGGAATCAACTCGTACCGCGACGGACGAACTCTGTCAGAATAAATTCGAGGAACTGAAGCAACTTCTGAGCGACGCCCATAAAGCTGTTAATAACATCGTTCACACGCAGGAGAATTTTAGACGTAGCGACGCGTCCATCGCCGAGACGTCGTCTCAGAAAGAAACATCGTCGCAGAGTGTGGACGCTTTCGACGGCGAAATTAATAGAAAGAGTATTGTCACTGACGACACGAAAGAGGCGAGAAACGAAGCAGCGAGCACGGCGGTAGGATACGAAAGTGGCAGCTGCATGGACGTTTGGACAACTCCGAACGTGTCGCGAAGTAACTCGGACAGTCACGGCCGGGCTGGCAAGTACAACAAGAAGCAAGCTCCGAAAGTGCCTCTCACGAAGAGCGAGGAGGACTTGAACTCCGAGGCCGATGCTCAGAGCGCGTTGAAAGCCACTTTGGTAATTAAAACCGGAACCGTGAAGACCTTCTCGAACACCGGCGTCACGAAGGACGTGTTTATCGCTCACGCGGGCGACGCCAAGTCAAAGGCTACTAAGAAGTCGAAGAGGCAGCGGACCAAGGAAGGTTTCTCGAAGCTGTTGACGATCCCGAAGAACATCTTTCACGGCGCGTTCTCCAAGGAGCCGAGGAGAGGGGAGGACTCTTGCTCGGACGTGAGCGCGCCTGATTCCAGATCGAACAGCATCGAATCGCAAGAGGCGATCGTTGAACTTGCTTCGCCGAAGTTATCGAGCTCCAATCGGGAGATAAACGCTCAGAGCGACGATAAGAGCGAGAACGACAGTTCAAACAGCTCTGGCAGTTACGTGCTTGCGCTCGCCGACGATAAACAGAAGTTGGAGACGAAGAGAGATATCGAGACAACGAGCGTAGCGTCGCAGATAAGAGAAATGTCGCAGTCGCCGAGAATTGGCAAAAGATTGGAGTCGGATATTTTTTAGGAAGCTTTCGTCTGAAAGATCGATATATATATATGTATATACATAGGCTAAATTGTTACACGGGTCTTTTTGACTGGTTCTCGTCGTCGTGATTCACTAAAACTCTTTGTCATCGATCCTTCCTCCGTCCTTTTCATCCACTTGTCGTACTACTGGAAACCGACGGAGAAGAAACGGATTAATTCGTTCGTTCAGATCGTATGAATATGGTTTCTAGAGTGTTTTCTAGTGATTCGTTGGGCCACTAATCGCTTAGCAAGTGTTAATTCCTCCTGGATTGTTCGACATGCATGTTACACGATGATTAACACGGCTCTAGCTGTACGATTTATTAACTGTTGCTTCGAGAAAGGAAGCGTACTACCACTTGAAACACAAATTTTTGTGCCAGTTGTTCATCCTATAAAATCCATCCCCCCAGAGAAGTATTTGATTTGTGTATTACATTTTCGTTTTGCTTGTGAAATATTTTTTGCAAATATTATTCCCGAATAGATCGAAAGGCATGTGAAATCCGAGAAGAAAGAGGGGTTCCTACATAAAAGTTATAATACTGTATTCTTCCCCTCACTATCGTAGTATCTTCCTTTTCCCTGAAGCCAGTGTGGTGTGTGAGTTACATGTTACTATAATCAAATCTCTAAACTTAGCGACTTTATAAACGCTTAAACACATAAAAATCGAAATGACGAAACGTCGAGGTGATTTTATTTTACAATCGAACGATCCTCCTCGCGTGGAACAGGCGATAACACGGCGATTCGTTTCTGTTTTTCAGATAACAAGCTTCGCTACCCTCCCCCGCAGCAAGAAGACGAGTAAAAAGAAGGTGGCATGAAATTTGGACACTGCTGCTGATCGCATCAAGGAATAAACATCAGTTTCTTTCGATTTGCTTTGAAAGTCGAGAAGTGAGAAAACGCACGGCGAAAGTGCGGCCGACGAAACCGATCAGCAGCAGAACAACCCGAATCAACCTATAAATATATACATGGAAAATGCATAATGCGTGGCGACATTGTGCCCTAGCACTAACGTTACTCGAGTCGTTTGTACATAGTTTTCTCATAATTTCAATTTCAGTTCCGCAAGAACGTGATTCTCATCGATTGTAATCGAGCATCTAGTTAAGTAGACATATAGGAGAATATCTCCGGTACACGCCGGTGTGGTTATCACTAAGAAAAAGTAAGAGAAGACGAGAGAAAGAGTGGGTCGTTCACGACGAGCCTGTAACACCGTTGCTCACAGTCATCCAAAAGATTATTAAGGCCCCAATACACGTTGAGACAGATAAATCGACGCTCAGGCTTCACGAAATCTACGCCAGTTTTCAATTTATCGCATCACGTGTGACATCTATGTTGAAACACGTAAAAATATAGGATTGTTATCCAACTAATATTATTATCAATAATAGAAGGTAACGCCACTGTACACGAGTATTTGGAAGATTCTGAATTATTGCAAATATGTAAAATACAATTCAAACGAATCTTTTTAATTTTTAAAAGTAATACATATATATATATATATATAAAACTGAAGGTTATTGAAGATTAATTGTTGAGAGATGTCTTCAATATTGAGATACTAGAATAATTGAAATATGTGTTTATAGTTACATTGAAATATGAAATAAAATTATGTGAATTATAATAAACTCATTTGTTTATATGGTTTTATTCTTGAGTCATTCCACTAGAAAATTGTCTTTTGGATCGTCTTAGAACAGTGTCTTAGAACAAGAACAAGTTCTTCGAATTTTCAATTTTCAAATTTCTATTTCAAATGTTCTTGGACACAAATAAATCAGTCTGGTAGAATCTTTACCTTTGAATCGAAAAGAATATGCTTCTTTGAACGATCTATATTTTAACATTCAAGAATTAATTTCTACATCTAATACATACGTCGTGACATATATCGTAAAACCCAAGTGTTGATGCATGTATTGTGACTTGAACGTGTTTCAACGTGTATAGGGGCCCTTAGATACTCGTATCATGCTTTTTATTGCGTGTGTCCCAAGACTCGTGCGTAATATCATTTGTATGAATAGATTACGATTCCCAAAGTTTTATAATATATATATGTACATGTTTAACGATTACGGAGAAAGGAGAAGAAACTTTTGGTGTCTATTGCACTCGATCAATGTCGCTTACGATCAAGCGTAGATTTTATCGATAGAAACAACGGGATTTATCGCCGATACTCCTCCGAAAAATCGCATTGGAATTCCGTTTCTAAGCTTTTTCTAGATTGAAGGATATAAGGAAACAACGAGGAATGCGGTCTATTTTATCAATAATTCTTCCTTGGAGTATCTAATTGAAGATATAAACTTCGTTCGTGTCGTTTTATTTCAATGAACTAAAATAAATAACACTGAAGCATCAAACTGTTTCGAGCGACATTCCTCCTTCTTTCTCGTTCATCTTCAATTTGTAGTTCCGATGCTTCGTAAAACGTCGCTCTATCATTGTAAAAAAAAAACAGAAAGAGAAACCGGAAGAGACACGCGTAAAATTAAGAAGAGCAATCGTATAGTATATTTGCGACAAAGAGAGATGAATTCTGTGGAATCTAGTCAACAAACAGAACCTACTCAGGCAACTTTTCAATAGTGCCACTTGACTTTCTACTCGCATATACATACATTCGTCTGTGTAACTGGAGCAGAGTCACAGGAGTCGTGCGTTGATTGATCGATAAACGATTGTACGAAACTACGTGTGCACGTACGATCATCGCACTTTTTCACGAAAACTTAGAGCTCGAAAACTGCTGCATAATGTTTCTAGCTAGTAATGAATAACGTTTCGAACTAATTCTACGTAAGATCCCGTCAACGACCAGCAATATGTCCATGGCTCTGAAATTATGACAGAGAACCTCCCTTATTCTAACTTTGGTTTTTTTCGTATGCATTAACGTATGGTCAATAGCCCGTTTCAACGTCGAGTCAGTGATTTCCTATGTCGAAATGTATGCGAGAGCTTGCTCGACGAAGAGGTGCATATTAATTTCTGTCTGTGCGAGACGCGACGATTCTTGTTTTAATTTCAAATCGCATCTACCTTATGACTTATTTGCGCGCACGGTATACCGAGCAGAAAATTTACGCACAAACGCTGTAGCTATTATTCATCGTAACGATGGAGAACGTGTTCATGCGTATAGTTTATCATACTGCACGTTGATGATTATTGTAAACGCGGGAGCAAGTGAACTCCGAGATCGAGAACGTTGTTGTCGATCGGTTAAGAATTCGTTGTAAGACTACGAATGTAGTTGTTCATTTTGCTAGATCATAAAGGGAAAAATGCGGCTAATGCGACGAAACGTCTCGTCTTATATCAATATATATATATCGTTCGATATTAATTTGCAATCTTTTCGTGGAAAGCTGTGTTTTTGTTTTGTGTATATCTCAATTTCATGAACATCTCATGTAAATCCATAAAATGTAAATCGTTCTCTGTCACTCGCAGAAAATTCCGTTTCAACTATAACATGGATTGAACATGGTGAAATAGTTTTGTACGTATTTCTCAAGAACGTGAACGTACGCATTCGCTGCATTTTGTCAAATGTAATGTAACAATGCAGGAAATTCGAAGCTTGTTAAGAGAAGCTGATTTATTATTATAACTTGACTGTCCCGATACTTGTCCGCGACTGTACGAGACTAGAGGAGAACATGCTCAATCCCAAGAATCTTTGCCCGTGCTCTCGTTTTTTTTTTTAGAGGATGCCCTCTAAAAAAAA